TCCGATCCGAGTTCGGATTCATTTATTCTCACCAAAATCACCATATTCGATGGTCGAGAAGTATCTGTAAACTTCCGATGTACCAGTTTTATGTATTTTCTTTCAGTCTTCCTGATCTAATATCATTATCGAAACATCTCGCCGACTTCTCATTCGAGCTTTCATACAACAAAAAAATTCTGATCATTAGGAGGTTCAGACTCATCAGTTGTTCTCAATCTGTTAGATCTGGTTAATTGATGACCAGTCAACGTGGTATCAATTCACAATTTTCCCGACTGACTATGTGATCTAATGTTCAGGCGACAAATATGAGATAAGTACTTACAGATCTTTTTATGCATGTACAATTACTTTATTCATTCGTTGTGATTATAAGAAATCTATTGATTGTTTGTTTATGTCTCTTACAGGAATGAATCATTTGAAAGCGGAGATGAATGATCTTTTAACAACAAAATAACTAAGATAAGTCTCCTAATTTTTTAAATTCCCAGTTTTAGTAAATTCTTAAAATCATCGAATTGATTTCCAAATGATAATGTTTTGAAATTTGAATTGAAGCTTTCTATATTAAAAAGTTATGTAATAAATTTTTTAGAGCTATCAAATATCTGTTTCGTATGTGATCTCAAAATTTTGAATTTAGATTTGTGAATTACAACATAACCTGATGAAAAATTAACATGTTTCTTAACAGGATGTTGAAGAAATAAACATTCACTAGCTTGGATGAAATCCTGAACATTTGGAAAAAAAGAATACTTCTTCCAAGTAGAAGCCACAGAAACAAAATACAGAATGAATAATAAAGAATTACAGGTTAGTTTCTCTTCATTATTCACTATTTCCATTGATATGGATTAAAATGAATAATAATTCTTTCTAATTTTTTCCTTTGCTTAATATAGAATGATTGATTAAAAATAGAAAAGTTTATAACTCTATAAAAATAAATATAACTAATGAAATAATAGTAACAGCTAAAAGAAACAAACTCAAAGGTGCAACCAATTACAAATTCTGAAAAGTTTCTTTGAAAACAACATTTGTGGTCTGCTTCTGTGGCTTCCCTTCCTTGTCTACTATTAGGATTTTCAAACCTTTCTTAGAAGTTACTCTAGAGAGTGCCACATAAAGCTGACCATGAAGAAACAGACCAACTTCCTTTCGTGATTGTCCTTGACTCTTGTTAATCGTCTTAGCAAAAGCTACAGCCAATGGAAACTGTCTTCTTTTCATTTTAAAAGGCAACTTAAGATCTGATGGAGAAATTACAATCTTAGGAATCAAAACCTTAGAACCGACTCTATCTCCGGTAATAACTTGAGCTTCTAAAACATGATCAGCCATTTGTGTTATCTGTAATCTAGTTCCATTACATAATCCCCCCTTAGGATCTATGTTTCGTAGCAATATTACTGGAACACCTATCTTAAGACGTATAGAATGTTTGGGTAATCCAAGTACCTTTATACTGTGTAAGAAATCAAGAGTGAATATCGGATTGTTACTTGAAACTGTATCCATAGGATCGATACTATCAGCACTTAAATAAACTCTTTCATCACCTGGTACAAATAAAACAATTAATCAGTATAAGGACACATATACTAATAACAACCTCATAATGAATGATAAATATAAGAAATAAGAATATACCTTTAATTTTATCAAGCATAAGTTCATTGATCAATTCAACATCATCATTTGATGGACATAAGATAGCTCTTTCTTGGAAAAACATAGGATCATCATTATGTATCAAAAGATTTGGATCACCATATACTTCATTGCTAATCACTTCTAGGGGATCGTTCGCTTCTGTAATAAGTAGTTCTTCAGGAATATCTATTAAAGCTTCACCCTCATTAGGTTCCGAAACTTTCCCATCTCCGACATCTAATAACCATTCTGAGAATTTCTGAATTTCGTTAGCTTCATCACGACTCAGATTACCAGATATTAGCCTCATGTTCTTAGTTAACTTTAGCACCTTGCAATGCTCCCAAATATAAGACGAATTCAACGAAGCCATAACTATCTTCGCTCTCCCTGCACTATTAATTACAGGTAGAGCCTGCCTAAAATCTCCTCCAAAAACCATAACTTTGCCAGCAAAAGGGTTGCCATCTACGTTTTTAATAATATCAGACAAACTTCAATCCAAGGAGTCAAAGCAATACTTGCTCATCATCGGGGCTTCATCCCAGATTATCATTGCTGCTTTTTTAACCATATTAGCAAGATCTGATCCAGCTTTCATTGAACATAACGTAAAATCATCAGGATTAATAGGAATACCAAACCTTGAGTGAGCTGTTCTACCTCCTTCTAACAACAAAGATGCAATACCGCTAGATGCCACGTTAAGTACAATAGAACCTTTCATTCGAATAGCAGCTCATAAAGTTTTCCACATAAATGTTTTACCTGTTCCTCCAAAACCATAGACAAAGAATATACCTCCTTTTCCACTATAAACAGCACTTGTGATTTGGTCATATATTCCTCTCTGCTCGGACGTTAACATCTTCAACCATTCTTCATGTTTCCTCTCTAGATCAATAATGTCGTAAGACATCTCATCAACAATAAAACGATTCGAATGATTGATCCTCTCTCCGATTGGTTGTGGCATTGATACAAATCGATCGAGAGAAGTTCCCATATTTAACAGTAGTTCATCAATTGCTTGTAGAGTAAAAATTTTCTTGTCAGCATCAGTTAAATGAAGATCTGTAAAAATTTAAAGAAAAATTAGACTACAGTACTGTAAAAAACATCATTTTAATAAATATATCATTGACAGTAAAAACTTATCCTATTACCAGGATTGTTGAACTCGATTCTTTTCTTCCTTTCCATGTCCTCTAGTAGAATATGCCATGTCTTCTCCTAAACATCTTTTGGAGTTATTAAGCAATCAGAAGAAAGCATCAACGCAAATAAATTACGGAGATAATCTCCAAAACACCATAAACTTGTAGATATAATACTGTTAATATACATATGATCATCTTCCAAAATATCTCGTGCAAAACATGCTTCCTTGTATGTTTTATAAACAACCCCTCTGTATTCTCGGATCTCTTCAAAACTTCTAGGACCAGTGACTATATTCAAAAGAACTCGGAGATAGTAATCACTTTCTAATTTATTCGGAACATAGTTAATCCTCCCAATGCTTAAATCCTTTTTCTTTCTACGATTGAATTCCTTGGCTTTACCATCGTATGTATAGTGATTGGGTATTTGTGCAAACGTAAGAGTCCGAGCAAACGAATCCTTATTATTTAGTTCCATCTAAGCCAGAAACTGTGAACGCTATGCTGATTTTCTAGCCAGAACAGATTTAACATCCTTTTTACCATTAAAATAAATCTTGTGCTTCCCTTCTAGATGAAAAGTAAGTTTCTCTACAGAAGTAGATCGATGATGAATAGGAAATTTTAATATCCTCCAAGCTGCTTCAGATGCTGAAACATATCTGTAACGCAACATAAGAAATTATATCAGAACTGTTAAATATATAAATAGTAAAAAGTCATACAATCAAGAAAAAAGAAAATTTTACTGTAATTAAATAAGAGATACCTTCCATCAAAGAAATTTTTTAACCTCATTCACTGGCTTCTCTTCATCATTATTAGCTTTAGTAGAACTAAACTGCTTATAACTCTTGCTACCTCGCTCAACAGCAAGCGTGATACGATCTTGCCCTTTGTTGATATATTTGAATAAATATTTTATAGAACCTGATTGGTTACACCACTCCACGGTAATATGAGCTTTGTAGCGAATCAATAATTTTCTGTTGTATGGGACAACATATCTGTTATCACATTTGAATCCATTCTTCTCCACAAACTCAGTAGTTTGACGTGTTCTGTAGACAGGATAGCCATCACTACCAACTTTGGTAATATCAACATGAGCATTAGGAAAGAATTTAGAACATTTACCATCAACCATACACGGAGCTCTAGGATTAGCAACACGACATGGACGATGAATCATACAATCCGAAATAACTTCATACAGTTCAGCATCTAAATTTTTATCGGGTATCTCTGCAGAGATGATCTTATCTATGCTATCAGCAGTTGGAAATTTACAGCTAGGATGCATCGCAATATATGAGCATGTGGAAGTCCTCTTTTCTGAAACTCTACTGTGTACATTGCTGTAAAAAATTGCCAAAAAACACTTATTAATATTAGTTTAGTGAACTTCATATATAGATTTGTGCAATTAAGTATAGATGATTATAATAAAACAGCATACCTGAAATAGTCTTCCTGAAATGATCATCTTCAGTCAAATCTTTCATAAGACAATCAAGCTTCATCTTAAAAACACGGCAGACAATATCTGGTCTGTCTTCTGATTTCAGATTCCTTTGTTTAAAAAATCTAGTTAACTCAGACCATTTAGGATTACATGTAAAAGTGATGAACAAATCAGGAAATCCATAATGTTTACATGTAGCCATAACATCATAATACTGCTCCCCCATATACCTAGGCCCACCAGTGAATGAAGCAGGTAGTAGCAATCGTGAACCTTGTTCAGACATGTCAGAATTACCCGAATAACAAAATGACTTCAGCGAATCATAATTTTCGCCTCTCAAATGTGACTGGTTGTATTTAATATAAGATAGCCTGTTAGTTTCGATCATTGTAAATGCACCACACAGAAATTGCTGAAACAATCTTCTACAACGTAGGAGCGTCTGGCATTCATTCGGTCTCTCTTGAGTTCTGAATGCAAAAAACTGACATTTTGTTTTTTCAACACTGACATTTTGCCCCGAGAGTGTGATGCACTTCTAACCTTTTCTGATAATGGTTAATTGTGCATAACAAATGTAGAATTAGAAAGGCATTTAAATAGTGCGTAAATGAATAATTTCTTCAAAAATCTGAATAAGCTCTATATTGTAGAACATAAGAACAATTGTGAATATTAGTTAACTTACCAGTGATATCTCTCTGTTTCAGATTAGATGCAACTGAGGAAGAGACAGGTGGAGTACATTGAGAAAGTGAACTCCAATCATACTGAAAATTGGTAATATCTCCCAAAATTCTATTGAATACTGATTTCAAAACGACGTTTCCATCTTTATTGCTTGATAGAGTTCGATTGCTTGATATATTACTTTTAGCTGCTGAATTTTCATCTGTCAATACATGTTTACTCTTCCTTGATGATTCTGGACTTTGAAATCGTCCGATGGGATCATCCCTCATATTCTTCATTAGCTTTTTGTTAATATCAGACACTTTAGTTTTGGCAAATAAACTTTTCTAAGGTTAATTGGTAAATAAATAGCATATGTAATCACAAAAAAAAGATTTACTATAATAATTAGATCAATCAGTCAATATTAACTGGTTAATATAAGTTAACCTATATGGTAGTTAGATATATACGTTTTTCAAATTCTAACATAAAGAGTAGTTATATATAATTAGATTTGTTTTTTTTTGGATAGCAATATCCATGTAGGATTTGTTGAGATTTATTTGATGGAAAGAAAGATTGAACAATTAAAAAGTAGATTTACAATAATAATGAGATCAATCATCTAATATTGAGTTGTTAATTTAAGTTTAAGTATATTGTAGTTAGATACTCGATATCCTAACAAAAAATTAGTTACATACTTACATATACAATAGAAGCATAGGATTTGTAAAGTATTTTAATCCTCATAAACATCAATGTAGATTATTTACGTGTTTCATCTCATATCTATGAACATTTATAATTTAATGTGTATATTTTTTCATATTTACAGATACATTGGAACTTCATGGAAAAGAATGATGTCTGTTCCAACGATCAGATTTTTGGAGCTTGAATTAAAAAGAGTTAGTGAAAAACTAATAATATAATATTGCTAATATGGTTTGGGGAAAAGTTCAATAAATCCAAACACTAATACTGAAAATAAAACATAAACGGAAAAGTACTAAAACCAGCGAAAATTAAACAGAAACTCAAAAGTACTAAAACATAATAAGAAAATGATAATAAAGTCTGATAAAATAATACATAACACTTAAAAGTAACATAAACGCAAAGGATACGAATCTCACAAAAAATTGTCTCCTTCAACTTTATGCCATGGTTTGAGCTTGAAGATTAATCGATCTCAATCAGTGGTATTGGGCTGAAAAAATGATTTCCAAATTGCATAAGTTATACATCAACCTGATGAATAGATATTATCTGTAAAATTTAATTTAAGACACTGATATATAACTTACATGATATCCTTGAATTCAAACACCTCTGGGATAGGAAAATCGAAGAAAAACCTAGAAACACCTCGCTGATCCACCAATTGTATACCTCCTAAAGATAAATAATAAATTAGTTAACAAAAAAATTGTAGATAAAATAGTTTGATGAATTTTTCCATATGTTTCATACTTAAAATTCTAAGAATTTACCTTCATAGTCCTAGGACGCCAATCAGTCAAAACACAAACAACTTGATTATCATGGAGACAATTTCAATAATGGTTAAAGTCTTCAGCCAATTTTCCAAAAGCGGTACATAGTATATCATGATCACTGTAATCAAATAATTAAATTAATAGCCATACAATATGTATACTTAAGGAAATTTTAATCATTAACAATAAATACTTACTCATTATTGACGATCCTAAATCTCAGACGACAAATCATTTTAGGAACAGCAGCTGCAAATAAGTCATCATGGACTAACTCTAGATTCTCGACATTAGTAATTCTTCCTGTGACATCTATATGAAGATCTTAAAACCATAAACAAAGCGCTTTGTACGGGAATAATATAATAGTGTTAATTAGAGATCTTACCAACGGAGAGATTTATGTGTACACCAGGATGAAAGATATCATCAAATGGTTTGAATGACAGATAGTGCTCTTCGGAGTTATAGTTACATCGCTTAACATCTGTGTTCTCAAGGAAATGAATTTCCTTCTGTGTGTCAATTAAATGCTGCACATTAACGACACCAACAACTGTAAAGTTGCTGATTTTTTTCCACTGTCCTTCATGCATGAGATTGTCGAAATAGGCATACAACCACGCCTAGTTACAAACAGCATGGATCTTGTCTCCCTAAATGAAAAATGTTTTCGAAAAAGCTTTAAAATTAGTAGAATGAAATCGACCAAAAACAAAATCAAACTCATCAATTATAAGAAATCTAGGAAAAATGCTATTTTCTTTGAAATATATAAGATCCAAACTTACACGTTCACCACCCAATAAGAAATGGATAGACTCTTCTCCGTCAATCGCAATTGTTTTCCATTTTCTGTGAACTTTGACACCCATTTTCCAATTCGATTTCCATGGATGCAGATCTATGATTTTGTCATACTCAGACATTTCTTGAATTGTGGAAATTTAAGTAGTATAATGGGTAGTTTTTTTTTATAACATGATAGAACTGCTATGAGTTAAGGCCGTATATATAGGGGGAGATATTGTAGGTTAACGTGATACACAACTATATATCGGTTGATATCTCTTTATTCGATATTGTAGGCCGTATCTCGAGTATCAAAATTACTTTCTTTTTGACAGGTACATTTGATTGCATTTTCTCAAAAATGGGAAAGATGTGATACAACAACACACTGTCCAAGCTTCATTTCTCGGTAAGTTCCCCATTAAAAACTTTTCAGTCAAAACAGTAAACGTTTTTTCATGATTATATTTTGAAAGTAACAATACTTTTTCATTTACTAGTTTATTTTGACAGAAAAAGAACACTTTACTATGCGGATTGTAAATACCAAGGTGAAGTTTAAAGAATAAACATATCTGGAAAAAATATGTAACGACAGAGGCAATTAGGTATGTAATGTATATTCTCTCTAATTTTTTGATCCAGTTTTATTGATAATCTAATAAGCAAATTTAGAACATTGTAGAGAATTAAAATATTAAATAAATTAGATGAGAAATCTCTCCATAACTCTGTTATAAATTTTGGTAAGATGATTTTAGTAAGTAACTCAAATTTGTATGATTGTTGTAGGGTACAATTAAATCATCGAGATATAATGTTTACTGTCTGGCGACGATGGTACCCTCAGACTGCCAATTTGTAGGTAAGCCACTTTCCATAACTCTGTTATAGATTTTGCCACAAAATAGTTTGATTTGGTAATTATTAAAAACGTATATTACACAACCACTAACAAAAGTAGTAATAGAAAAAACAGAAATCATCTGAATAGAATGTAGTACTTATCCCCGAAAATATTAAATTGTTCAACATATTGAAATCCATAAGAAAAGGGAGACCAAAAGAGAATATCTTTTAAAATAAAGTTTCTTAATGATAGGAATTGGTAAAACCCTGAAAATAGGCTATTCAGAATCTTCATCATTGCCATTTCTGAAATAATGAAAAACAACATGTGTCAATGGTTGTAATAATAAAATATGGCAAAATGTACAAAACTCGGATAACATTTAAACTATTTACAATGCACGCTTACACCTTCTAGCCTCATAAATGTCTGGATCGTATAAAACACTTGATACTTCTCCCGCATCAATCAGACGAACATTTTCTATATAAAAAGAATAACATATAACTCGCTTAAAGTGTACATTTTAAAAATTTTTAATTAATTTGAGTAATTATATTTTTCAACATACCTCCAACATTGACCACACGAAAATCACTTAGGATTACTACCATATTGTTCGAATTGAAATTCCACCATTTTTAGTGATTTCAAGGGCAAGTTTTCCATGAACAACGCAAGTTAAGTTTGGCCCTCTATGAAATAAAATTTTAATTATTAAGAAAGACAAAACACATAAAATAGTGAGAGACAGTTTGAACATATGTGAACTATAAATCCAGATCATTAATGATTATCAATTGTATATAGTGGATTAAAACGTACGGTGTGGACTGAATAGCAAATTTGAGACGACAAGTGTTGGCAGGACACACAGGGCCAAAGTCCGAATCTTTTACTTTGACAATATCTGTAAGCATAGATATCCTACCCAACACATCTGACAAAATAGACGAAAAATAACAATATGTTAACTAATAATTATGTTAACAAAGCTTAACTTATAAACAAACTAAAAATACTTACGAACAGGTACGACACGGTTGAATCTTCCAGCAAGAACATCATCAAAACTTGTAAATTTCATGTAATGCTCATCGGTTACATCATACTCTTTCCTCACATCAGTGTTGTCGAGTAGACGGATTTTCCACATGCAATCGACCAAACTATTAACTGCATCACTTTCGAAGACAGTAAAATGATGCAACGTAAACCATTTACCAACAATTAGTTTTGTTCTGTAATATGGCCTGTTCTGAAGATCATCACATATAGCATGAATTTTATCACCCTACAAAATTTTAATAAACTATACATTAGACAAACATACTACTAAAAGAACAGTACGATATAGAATATGATGAAGTAAAACATACCTCTTCATCGACAAAGATGAAGTTTAACACTTCACTTTCTCCTTGAGATTGGGATTCCCAAGACTTAAAAATCATGATACGAATGTACCAGTTAGATCTCCACTGGTTTAAATTCCTGATATTTTGAAAAATATCATCCATAGTAAAGTGAAAAAAAAACTAACGGTTTCAAAGACAGAGAGAACAATGAGAGGTTTCGGGTGATAAAAGCACATAAGGTCTTCCCTCATATATATAGCAAAACAACGATTAGGGTTTTCGATAATATCGAAAAGATGCATCTTAAATTCAACTTTAAAATTATCAATAACCTAAAAGACATCAATTCAAAAGACGCAATTGACGCCTCTATGTATAATATCTAAATATTGGATAACCATATATGTATCTATTAATGAATTGCAGGGTTAACAAAATTCCTTTTTTTTACAGGTACATTTAATTGCATTGGTGCAAAATCGGGAAAGATGTGATACGAAAATAACACACTGTCCAAGTTTCATTTCTCGGTAAGTTTTCTTATTCATATATATAAGCCCTTCAAAGCTAATTAGGTATGTGATGTATATCCTAGTTATTTTCATCTAGTGTTATTGATAATCACAAAACGCCAATTTAGAACAGTGTAGAGAATTAAAAACTAGATAAAAAGCAACTAAAAGATAGTGAATAAGCAAGACAAAAAAATACTTTAATCACTTAATATAATGTTGAAGTGGCGTGTTTTATGACAAAGCGCACCCAGTGAAATACTACGAGAAATAGTAACAAAATAACAAAAAAAGTTCAGAAAAATATATAATTCAACATTAGCTACTTTTGCTTTCATTTCCAAACTTCTCAATTTTGACCTGAAGTTTGCATTGCTTCTTACTTGCTAAACGTTAGTCTTCGAGAACTTCAATTATAGGCTCAACTTTTCTCTTCGAAGTAGGGGTAACTTGGTTTGGAATTTCATCATCGACAATTGGCTCTGTATTGGTAAGAGTCAACATACTCTGTTTTCAAAAAAACAATAGACTAAGGTTAATGAAGTGCCCATTTAAATAAAAATTTCTATCCTAAAATAATAATAAAAGTACACTTCATCACCCGAAACCAGTTCTGAAATATTCATTGGCTTTTCTGAATCATCAACAGTTAAATCTTCAACCATACCATTGTCACTTAAAATCTTGGAAATCTTGAAAGTATTGTGACCACCACCGAGATTCTCTTTATCAACAGCAAGAACAAACTGAAATTTTTTTCCGACTAAGTTCTTTTATGTTTCTGGGATTACTACAGGATCTTCAATCTAAGCAGTTGGACAATAATATAGAACACACGTAAATAAACAACTAAATTATTCATCCAGTTGGCATTTTAAAATCTAACTTGCCAATTTAGCATAGAACACAACCTAAACTTAATTGAAAAAGTTCCAATGCAATCAAAGATCTAACAATTAAATTACATGCTTAATTTAAAGATAATATAATTTAGATACCTCATCGAATGATCCGTTGAGCAATTCTGATGCTTGGCATTTTAACATCTCACTTGCCGATGTATCGAATAACAATATAGTAATCTCACTTGTTGTATCCATAACCTTCAGATGCAGCTTGAACCTGACAACAGAAAACGATGAAATCGTGACTATTATTATAGAGTTATGGTGAGTTCAGATCATAAATTAGGTCACTTACTTGGGCATAACATTGGTGACAGTCTTATTGCATTCATTACAATGCCACCAAGGTACCCCTCCGAGAACTACCACACCATTAGTTCCTGCGATGATCTTTCTAACCTTCTTATGATTTTTGATTTTGCAACCAAAATAATACCATCCCCAGTCAGTGTCAATGGCGTAAACTGTGCAAATGATCCTTACTTTGCCGACCTATTAAATTGAAAGAAACATACAAGGAACACTATAGTGAAGTACCTTTGATTGAATTGTCAAATACATACGTCGGTTAATTCTTTTAGTTCAGAAACAGTGACCATTAGAAACTGGTTCCAGTAATCATCCGTCTTTGCCAGTGTTTCCTTTTTAGGTTTAGTTTCCAACAGAGTAAGAGCCAAACCATCATCTTGTAAGCTGCAAACAAAATACGAATGTCATGAAACCATAGGAAGTAAGGTTAGACAAATTCAATTGTACATTATCTCAAATCCTTTCAAGAATATAAGACTCACGCATCCAAAAACTGGTCAATCAGTGCTCCACACGGGTTTATAATGACTAAACTGGCATCAAAAGCGTTGGAAACACTTTTTTATGTCTGAAGGTAATAGACAAAATAGAAGTAAGGAAACAGATTTGAAAATATTGAAGCTTCTAACTGGATAATGTAGAAAGTGTACCTCTGAATTCTTTAATTTTTCAAATCTAATGAGACAAATTAGTTTTTCAGTCTCATTATTGGAAGTGGCTTCGACGATTTAATCAGCAAAATTTCTCCATAAGGTATAACTTAGACGCCTATCATTGAATCCATTTTTAGGTTATAACAGTAACTCAAAGTAAATCATCAATATAACTCAGATTTTGGGATGCGTAACATTAACAGAACATATATTGACTTTAAAAGAAACAAATTACTAATACTTACTGCTCATCCCTCAGTTTGAAATCAATTTTCTTTGCGTCCTTGTTAATGACATGCGTCGTAGACAGTTGCCCCACATTCACTATCTGGCCGAGAACATCTAATAAAATTGAACATATTAGGTTAGAAATATATAGTGTAAATCAGACTAATACAATTCTGTGATTAATATTTTTTCCACACAAAATGCTCTGATTCTGTATTCCTTCATGAATACCACTGAACCGGACCAAGTCCAAGAAGTCAGAGTTTGACACGGTTACAGAATTAGACACAATTGTGTCTTTGACAAAACTAATCTGGTAACAATGCTTGGTAGTCCTGTATTGTCCAATTGAATTGCTAACGTTGAACTCTTTAATGAATTTCCAGCTTCCTACAGATAGATGGTTCTCGTATCTCTTCAAGTGTTGTTTCTTTATAGAACAATGAATTATCGTACCCTGTGAAAAATTATAACCACGCTTATAAAATGTTCTAGCTAACATCATAAGGACGTTAAGTTTCTTATAGTAAGATAAATTACCTCTTTGTCGACTAAAACCATTTCAATAGATTCTCCTGAGGCGAAAGCAAACTGCTTCCAAATGTGCAGAATTTTGACTTGAATTCTCCAACTGGATTTGAAGGGCTTAATATTTTGAACAGAAGTTATTGAAACTTTAGAAGCCATTTTCAAAGATTTGCGTAAAAAGGTATGGCGACTTCTCTAAATGTTTCTTCTATTTATATGTAATCAATTAGGTTTTAGTAATATCTTTTTGAAAGAATATAGTAGCTAATATTTAGAGATCTTCATTATTATAACAAGATCTTTCAAATCTGTCATGACTATAGGTAAATAGATTAGTTAAAAATATATATTGTTACATATATGAGATTGATTAGATTACCGTAGGAAAGAATATGTAGATTGATTAGAATATTCTGATAATTTATGATATAATTCGGTTTGTTTTGTTAAGAATATTTAGTTAGGATGTGAGTTAAATGTTAGATTGTAAACGGTAATTTAGGATACCGTTTAGATGAGTGAATGAAAATAAATATAGCAGTTGCCATATATTTAGGTATTGATTCTAACTTGTTTTGAATTCAAAATCTATTAATCTAACCGGTTGTTTAACAGTTATTGCAGACCACAAAATCCGGTTTAAATCAAGTTGAAGAGGATTCGCGTCTTTGTTAACGGGTATACGGGTCGAATATTTTTGTCTGGACATGATCAAGTCATGTCAACTGAGTTAATTCAGTTAAGTTGCCGGTTTTGCCCTTAAATAAACACGTAGCCAAACACAATTAACTCAGTAAGGTAATGACATTTTTCTTAAATACATTGTTTTTTCGAGTATCTCAAAAATCGACTTCTCAAATTATATTATAGAGATACCTTACCGTAAAGTATCGTTGGGTTCCTTCTCTTCGCTACCATCTCATCTCTTCGCCGAAACGGCTCTCTTCTCTTCGCCTAAAATCATCATCCTTCATCTCATTTCAATTTGCTTTTTTGTTGATTTACTTTGTTAATAGATAAAAGGGTACTCAATTAGTGCCATCCTTGTGCTCTCTTCTCTCCCCGAAACCACCATCTATCTCCATCTCAAGCTGAAGTTCGATAGCTTTGTCTAGGGTTTGTTTATTCTGCTAATTTCTTTTCTGTGTCAAATTATGTTAGCTCCAGCAAAATTGATTTTTTGTTGTAGCTAATAACTCTGCCTTGCTTTGATGCAGGTGCTGTTCACCGTTCACCATTTACCGTTCTCCCATTCTTCATCCTATTAGGTTTGCACTCTCCTTCTCTCTTGTGTTTTGGTAAGCCTCTGGTTTATTGTCCGTGAAGGTCGTGTATTGCTTGAACTATAATGATTTGCTAAAGTTTTTTTTCTTTTTTTACTTACCTTGTGTCGGTTTTAGCTCCTTTAGTTTCCATTTAGATGCTTAATCTTTAGGATATCCATGAAAGAACATGAGTTAACAAGTCTCTAGGAAGATCTTAAGAACACCGCGAGGTTTGATTGTTGCTCTTTTGATGTATATCTGTTGATTATATAATTTTTATCAATCCCATGTTTCTTGCTTGAAAGTGCTTTGATTCTGATGTGTTGTCAAATTTCCCGAACCATGGATACTAATACTATTATCGAAAAAGAGAGAGAAAAGATTCTTGTGTACGTCTGAATTAACATGATTTCACTTTGATGGTGCTAATTTTCCTTGTTTACGTTTCCAATCATCCAATTTGGGGTTTTTGTCAGTTTAATTTATTGTTTATTCAATTTTTTCTTCTTCTAGGAAAAAAATCAAATAAAGTCAGGTTTCAACTCTTTGTGGGTTTGTGAATTCGTTCATTAAAATGAGATAAACACCAAAGCGTGCGGGATAACATAACCTAACTAAACCAGCATTGAACCATAGATAATAATCTCTAATAGTGCGGTTTAGTGATCACGTCAATAATAATCTGGTTTTTGGTCTTCTCGGGAATAATGTGTAACAATAATGGTGTGAACGGTAATCGTCAATAATGGTTTGAACGTTAATCGTTAATGGTATGCAGTAATCATTAATAATGTTGTACTTTATAACGAATGCTATTTAACTAATGAGTGGAAAAGATTAATCCTTACAATTATGATTTCTGCTAATTCTCTGATTTCGTAGAGAAAAAGTCTAAAGATTCTCTCTCGGTGAATGTTGATTTAAGCATACAATTATGATTTGCGCCTTTATTCTCATCCTTTATTCTCATCTGACTGTCAATACATGCTTCCATATTCTCCAAATGATTACTTTTCCCTTTCTTTTTCTTTGTTTCATACTTTCAGCTTACTTGTTAGAGACAGATTGCTTAAGGAGAGTCATGGCTATTGATGTAAACATTTTGTGACTTGTGAAATATTTAAATAGAAAGATTGCTCCAGGAGAGTTATACTCATGGTGATGAAGGAGAAGGAGAAGCAGAAAATGATAATGACAGTGATGATAGTCATAATGGACATATTTCATATGAGCCGACTGGTGATAGAGCGATGGATAGAATGATGAAAACTTTGCGTGACACCATCACAAATGAATATAGTAGAAGACGTGATTACCTTAATAGATATTTTAGTTAATGGTTTACTTTATTACTGGGTTTTGATTCGAAAAAAACAAATTAGTTTGTTATGTTTGTTTATTTTACTTTATGATTATTATTTTTATTTTGTCAAATTTTATAATTAATATGATAAATTAGTTTTGTAACAATCTTAGTAGTTTATACAATTTGTTTTAATTTCGTTTATGCTATAATTAATTTACCTGCTGAATTAAAAAAATTATGAGTGTATGCAAAAATTTATTATATTACAAAATAAATTTAAAAGTTTTTAAAAGTTGAAATTCAAATTGAAAACAAAAAAGATAATCGCAGCCGGAGCGATTATCAAACGAACGAACCTGCTATCAGACGCTGCGACCAAACGCGCGATCACCAACCGAACAAATCTGCAGCAGACGCTGCGACCAACGCGCGATTACCAAACGAACGAAATTGTCTAAATGCAGCGTCTGAACGCAGTGCCGCAGCCGCAGCCGCTGGCGTCTAGCAAACAAACAGACCCATACTTTGCAGCGCTCATACCATGGCTTCACAAATAAAAGCTTGTGTTGTCTACTTTGTATAAAGAAGTGACGCCAAAGTACATGATGCTCTTGGATACAGCATCAATTAGAAATTTCATGAGGAATACTGTTGTTGATAGTCTAGCTCTTGTGGAGAACTTGGCACTTTCTGATAGAAACTATGGTGACGAATATGACAGAATACCTAGAGCTGTTGTAAGCGCTGAAGGTGAAAGGTCAACTAAGAAGGATATTAAAGCTTTGAGTGACAAGTTAGACAAGCTGCTGAGTGTGTCTTTCAAAAATGTCAGTTTTGTTGGTTATAGTCTTGCTACACAAGAAGAAGATGGGACAGTTGTCGAAGAAGAAGCCTTCTACATTCATCAACAAGGAAAAGGTTTTAACAACCACAAGAATCATCCCAACTTCTCTTATAGAAGCACCAACGTGGCTAACTGTTGGGGTCGGTTTTCATCCTAGCGAAATCAATGGGAAAATGGCTAAGTATAGAAGTTATTCTGGGCAATGCCCAAACTATACATGGGCAATCCAAACAGATCACCTCGCCTAAACCATCTATGCAAATATACTCCGAGATCTTCGTCTAGATTAGAACTGGGAGTTGTATAAATAAAGAGTTTAACGCCATTAGCGCGCATCATCTTTTGACCTAGCATAAGACATAGCAAAATACTTGTACCAAAAGCTTATCTAAGCGGCAATAATAAAATCACCATCTTTGGATTCTTGTTCTCTCGTGTCTAACTTAGAATCTTTACGTCCTCTTTTATTTTTAACAAACAAATTCTATTGTGTAAAATCCAGCCCACACAATTTGGCGCACGAAGGAGGGGGCAGTAGAAGAATTCTTACACCCACGAACCGAGAGACACAAGATCGGAAGAGATGTCCACCAGAGCACAAGACGGAGGTAACACCAGAGTTAGGCGAGGCGATGGAGACGCATGCGACACAGTTCAGCATCCGCAGACGCAAGCCGAGGCGCTCACGACTGCCCTAGCTGAGGTGAAGGAGACGTTGGCGACGCTGGCGAAGAAGACGGGAGAGCAAGACAAAACCCTCGAGGTGTTAGCAGCGGAAAGTCAAGCTCAGAGCCAGCGTATAGGGAGCATCCTCCCACCGACGAATCCGCGAAGCAGGTTCAGGAGACACGGGCTCAACCCTACGGCGCTTAATTTTTCCACACCCGTGGCGAGTGGTAGCAGACCTGGAGGTCCAGTAAATTTCCAATCACAGCCTACTCACGGAGAACATACACCAGCCGCTATGAGGCCGAATGTCACAGTCCCACGGCGCTTGAGCCGAAGAGGAGGAACTCAGGAGCAAGAAGGGCAACAACCTAGCGAAACCGCGGGCGAACAGTCAGGAAGCGAAGGCAATCCGATTACAGCCGAGGTGACACAGACGGACCCGATCCAACTTAATACAAACAATACCACGACGATGCAGGCCCGAGCCGAAGGAGATGTTGGCAAAGCAGAGCACGAGCACGACTCAGACGAGGAGGACAAAGATCTCGCATGGAACGAACAAACTCGATATTCAGAGGAGCACATAATTGCAAATCGGAGCCACTTAATCCAACACAGATATGGGAGCCGAGGAGGAGATGCCCTTAGCGAGATCCGAGCCGACTTAGCCTGAGCGAATGCCGAGGTGCGAGCCATCTGATCCGAGGTGCATAAGGCGACAAGCGCGGCGCCATAGATAGGCCTGATACTCGAGGAAGCCCGGAAGACTCCCTTCACCGCTCGGATCACCGAGGCGAGGGTATCCGATCCAGGGAAAATCTGACTTCCCACTTATGAAGGAACAACCGATCCAAAGGAGCACGTCAGGACATTCAACACCGTAATGGCTCGATCTAAATTCAAGGAGAATGAGCGGGACGCCGGTTTCTGCCTCCACTTCGTAGAAAGCCTTTGAGGATCGGCCCTTAAATGGTTCTCGCGATTGGAACGGAACTCAATCGACAACTTCAAAGAGTTGACCAGGGAATTCATGAAACAATATTCCATGTTCATGAATCATGGCATTTCAGACGCTGACTTATGGACCTTATCCCAAGGACCGATCGAATCGCTTAGAGCGTTCAGGGGATGCTTCAAAGCAGTTATGTCCAAAGTAGAGAATGTGAGTGATAAGGGAGCACTCGCCGCCTTGAGAAAATCTCTCTGGTATAAGTCGGAGTTCAGAAAGGAAATAAGCCGGAATAAGCCGCAAACGATCGAAGACACCATGCACCACGCCTCAGACTTCATATTAAAAGAAGAAGAATTCAAAACCTTAGACCAGCGTTTTGGTTTGGGGAATGCGAGTAGCAAGAGTCAAGTCGCGACGCCGAGTCAACCATCCCAAAAGAAGAGTTACCAGAACAACTCATACGTACACCACGAAGGACCAAATTTCCGAGGATCCTATAAGTATCAAATAGGCAATGGGCGAGGTAAATTCCTGTAGAACACCTGGACGAGAAACCCGAGCTCATATGAAAAAAGGCGTACTGTGAGGTGCACAAGGCCTATGAACATCTGACATCGAAGTACCAAAAAATTGGAGCCAAACTCACGGAGAAACTTAAAGAAGGAGAGCTCAGCGACGCGGTGACCTTGAAGGACTTCAAAGGGAAAATCGCAGAAGAAGTTGAGCAGCGAGGCGAGCCAACTCCAGAAGGAAAAGACCCCAAGGCGAGGAGAGATGCCGAGGCAAGGCCGTGTGCACCCCCAAAGCGCAACAGGAAAAATGCAAAGAAACCGAGTCGGGGACACGAAAAAGGATAAACATCATCATGGGCAGATCTCAGTATTGACGAGATACAATCTCCGCAATCAAATCCTTTCAGCGACGAGCCGACGCTAGCATCAACTGGTCAGCACCAACAAAAAATCCGAAAGATATCATCACCTTCGAAGAACGGGAAACCACGAGTATCGATAGGCCACATAATGATCTGCTTCTCATCGAACTGACCGTAAAGGATCACAATGTGGCGAGAGTCCTTATCGATACTGGGAGTTCCGTCGATGTTATCTTTCGAGATACCCTAGCCAAAATGGGAATCGATATGTCCAAAGTAAAGTTAACACTCCAAGTCCTCTGACTGGCTTCGCTGGGGATACGATAATGATGCTGGGAACAAATAAGCTGCCTGTCCGAGCCAGAGACGTGACTAGGATCGTCGACTTTTCGGTCACTGATAGCCCGGCCATCTATAACATCATCATGGGAACACCGTAGATAAATTCTATGCGAGCTGTCGCCTTGACTTACCACTTGTGCCTAAAGTTCCCAGGCCCGAACGGGATAAAGACAATATGGGGAAGCCAAAAAGAGTCCAGGATATGCTTTATGGCCGAACACAAACTCAGAAATCCTAAGACCGAGGCGAAGGGAGATACGGAGCATAAGAAGGTCAAGACGAACCGCAAAACAAAACTAAGGCGGTCAAGGCTTTTATAGCAATTACAGAAGTTAGAGGAAGGAGAAGGTGAGCAGCCGAAGTGCGCCCCTGTGATTTCGGTATGCATAGACTAGGCGAACCCGGAGCGATGCATGGAAATCGGAGCCGAGCTAGAGGAGACATTGAAAATCGAGCTGATTTCCTTCTTGAACGAGAACATCAACACCTTCGCATGGGCCGCAGAAGACATGTCCGGGATCAGCATCGATGTTACCTGCCACGAGCTAAATGTCGATCCGACCTTCAAACCAGTGAAGCAAAAGAGAAGGAAGCTCGGGCCTGAGCGAGCCAAAGCAGTCAACGACGAGGTGAACAGACTCTTGAAAGTAGGATCTATCGCCGAGGCAAAATACCCCGACTGGCTCACGAACCCGGTGGTGGTAAAGAAGAAGAACGGCAATTGGCGAATCTGCCTCGATTTCACGGATCTTAACAAAGCATGCCCGAAGAACAGCTTCCCACTGCCTCACATAGACCGCCTTGTCGAAGCAACTGCTGGCAACAAGCTCCTTTCGTTTATGGATGCTTATTCTGGATATAATCAGATTCTGATGAATCCCGACGACAGAGAAAAGACAGCATTCATAATGAACTTGGGCATATAGTGCTATAAGATAATGCCCTTTGGGCTCAAGAACGCCGGGGTGACCTACCAAAAGCTGGTGAATAAGATGTTCGCCGCGCAGCTTGGAAAAACGATGGAGGTATACATAGATGATATGTTGGTGAAGTCACTCGAAGAGAAGGATCACGTCGCCCACCTCAGAGATTGCTTCATCCAACTGAATCAACACAACATGAATTTAAACCCGACGAAGTGCCGATTCGCAGTAACGTCTGGTGAGTTTCTCGGATATCTGGTGACGAACCGAGGAATCGAAGCCAATCCAAAACAGATTGACGCCTTGATTCAGCTGGAATCGCCCAA